CTCTACTCCTATAAGAAATCAACCCCCGATAGATCACAGTTTTTCTGTTTCCCTTGTTTTCCAAACGTGTGTTCTTTTATGATGAGTAGTAAACTTGTGATAAGGTATAGTAAGATACTATATGAAGTTCAGAACTACCATTGTTACAGAAACTATTGAGCCTATATTTTTCTTTTTCTTTACTTTTTGACTTTTTTTTTAATATTCTCCTACTACTGAGATGCCATCCCAATGCACAAAGTTTATGCACTGATCTCCCTGTAGTTGGGAGGCTGTGAGCATGTGGGTCACTCACTGTGCTAATACCATCTCATTTGTCCTTCAGCATTGTGTTGGTGCTTTAAGAAGGGTGTCATAGAATATGAGCACTGGCTAGGTATTGGGCTCTTTTTCATTCCCAGTGACCCAGGAAGAGGTCTGAGCCTTGTGGCAATTTATGTTTAGGTAATCCCCCCCCCCAACACACACACACTCAATAGACTGCAACCCATGCCACAGTGAAATGTTAAAGAGGTATTTTACCCCATATCTACCCAATGTGAATATATTTTTTAGAAAGGACTGTTTAAGGTTTTTCACAAAATTATTCAGCTTGCCTTTTTGACCAATGTATAAAGAAATCCAGTACAGCATGCTGCACATAGTGCTTCATCTATTTCATGAGGTCTCACATCAGTAAGTTATCTTGAGAATTTATGTTTGTGGAGCAAAACCTCATCATCTCTTTAGTTTAAAGTATTTTGAATTATTGTGATTCAAAGTTATTAACGATAACGTGATCTTAGGTTTTTGGGAGATGCACAAGGTCTTATTCCCACAGTGTCATTGGTTAATTGATTCATTTATTAGAAAGTTTGCAGATGGAATTTCCTGATCCATATGCAATCCAGTTAGGTTGCACATAATCTTCTCCTTCCATGGTCAATCCATCTTTCGAATACACAGGCCTAGAAGAGCCCTGCACCCATCACCATCAGGCTGGTGGTTAGTAAGAAATGACCTTATATTTTGGGTTATGCCTTGAAGCAATGCCCTCTACCCAATGCTGAAGGGCATATAGTCTGGTACTTGGTATTGGGGCCATGCTTAGAATTCTTGAGCTATGTTTGGGTTTTACCAGCTTTGTGTAAATTGGAGTAGCACCTCTGGTCTGGGGGTGCTGATACAATTTTTTATTTATTCTGTTAAAAATAGAAAATCATTGTGTTCTTTGTTTTTTTTTTGTTTTATATAATTTTTAAAGAAATCAGCCAATCACTAGTTTTTCCTCAAGATTCTTAATTTTGAATCAGATTTTTTTTTTTATTGTTTTAAAATCTCCCATTTCACCATTTTATATACTTCCCATTAAAAGCTTTGGTAAAATTGCGCTTTTGCACAGTTGCAAGCTAAAACTTGCATTTTTGTTTGTAAATCCACATTTTAGTATAACACTTTTTACCTTGCTGTTTTAATTGTAAACTTGCAGTGGCTATATCTTCATTTAATCTTTTGCAAAGGTTTTGCTTTTGGCTTATTTTAATGATTATTATGGATGGATATTTTTTGTAAGACTTGGTTGCTGATATATGCACTTGTTTTATGTGAGCACTGCATTTTAAATTCAAATATATTAAAAGATTAGGTACTCAAGCTATACAATTCTAACAGCAGGCACAGTGGGGGATTGAGGGTTTCTCAGCAGTGAAAAGGAATGTTTTTTTTTTTTTTATATATTTCTGCTCACAAAGTTAGCCAGGCATTTTCAGTAGTACAGCTTCCCTTTATTTTTAGTGCTCTCTCTTCATGCTTCAAAGCATTCACCAATAAAGTTCACTAAGTAAATAAATATATGTTTATATTTATAGGATAGTAACTTTTTTATAGGCACAGAGATTATTTACTATTTTATTCACTGTAATAGACCTTTTTTTTCGTCCTTCCTAGTCATTTAAGCTAACAAGGTCAGCAAAGACACTTGAGTTATTTCAAACACTTGCAATCCAGTTTTACTATAATACCTTAGATAGTTAATAGATGCTTTTCATTATTTTTATTGTTTTTTAAAAAGTATATACATAGTCATTTTTGGATGGAGTTGGGAGTGTTGAAACCCAGAAAGTGAGGGGAAATCTTCCCAATAAGGCACAGAGGGCTAGAAGAATCTGACAGGGTTTGTAAGAAAAAAATAGTTTGTTTTTTTTATAGATTTTAAAAATTAACAGGTATATAAAACAGTGAATGTGACATTCATAAAACATGCACTACAGTTGAATCACTGTAATTTAAAATACAGCTGGAAGACACACCTGCAGTGAATGTTTGGTGAACTTCACATTCAAATATACCTTTTAGTATTTTATTGTTAGGCAAATAGTTAGACAGCAAGATTGTTAATTTAATAAAAATGTTAATTTAATTGTAACATTAATTTGAAAAGAGTAACATTTACATTGCATTTGGATATATATCAAGTAAATTCTTGCATATTAAAGATTACTTATGGATTTGTAGACATGAAAAAAAAAACACATTGGATGGGTACTCCTTGCATTATTGTCTGTATTGACACAACATTTAAGCCCCAAAAAGATCTCAACCTATTTTTTTCCATTTCTGATCATAGATGGATGTTTTTCATAAGAAAGCAAGCATATTATTTTTGAAACTTACAGTACACAGTATACCAAATATTATTGTTGCTTACGTTACGTTTAAATTTATTGTAGAACAAAATGGAAAACAAATAATGAGGTTATTATTCTAAGACAACCAGGCTATGACTGATGACAATCAATAAAATAAATTCAAAATAGGCAGTAAATATCAGTGAAATTAAGGGTTAATGGGAAGTGAATGAATGTGATTAGAGTGAATTGATCATGAATTATTTATTGTTCATTTATGTTATGTCATAATGCAGAGCTCTTTGGAGATTATTAATTAAAAATACACTTACCCAGCGCTTCAAGTGTATCTAAAACCACAACTTTTTTTTAGTTTTCGATAGACTGGTGAGGGGTTAGAACAGCTGTTGGTTTTTTTTGCTGCATGTATTCTTGTTAGGGAGATTCACCCTCTGCATTTGTCCTGGTTAAGATTGTCACTGGGATTCAAAATGGGAGAAAGTCCAACAGTTTTAGTTGTTACTGGAACAAACTAGAAATCCTTCAGTAGGGACCTTTGTTCTATTGCCAGCTGACCAAGAGAGGATTTCCTTTGCTTTGAGGACATCTTTTCTCATTTCCTGTTGTTCCTTGAGGTATGAACTGAAGAAAAAATCTCCTTAATAGGACACAGAATGAAGAAATAAAACTGGACAGGAGCGTTAATCATGTCTTAAACAAAAAAGTGTTAACTTTATTTGAATGTGGGGATGTCCAAACATTCTTCTCACAAGGGTACTTTGCAGATAACAGGGGTTATAGAAAAAAATTACCATCTTCCCCATTAAAATAATCACATTTTGTTGCTTTGCAGCCTGAAATAAAGCCAGACACAGTTTTTGTTTTATCCGGCTGTATTTACTTAGTGCAACTTATAACATCCATGTGAAAGATATAATACCAAAATGTCAGAAAAAAAATTAAAAATCCAAAAACAGAATCACTGAGTTGGAAAAAGGATCACCCCCTCCTAAAAATTACTTGGAAAGTGTGGCTGTCTTCATTTCAGGCTGCAAAACAACAAAAATATGATTATTTTAAAGGGGGTGATTCTTTTCTATACCAACTGTATGTTCACCACTAGTTATCACACTTCTGGAAACCATTTGAATTTATGCACAGAGGTTTGTTTTCAAAATAACTTTCACCCTATTTTTAATGTAATTTTGTAGCGACCATTATTGTCCTCTTTCCATTTGGAATTTTCTGTAGAGAGGGAATGATAGTTCAGTAGTTGGGATGGAAACTGCAGTCTCCAGCCAGAATATCTCTCTGCTGGGGATTCAGTGAAAAGAAACAAGAAATTGGTGGATCTTTCACCATCCTGACATGTGCCTAGCAATGAAAATTTCATTTGAGATCCACTTAAAGTGGTTTTAAAGGTTCGGGGTGTTTTTTCCTTTAAAAAATAACAAACATCTTATACTTACCTGGTTTTGCACAGAGCAGCCCCAATCCTCCTCTTCTCAGGTCCCCGCCAGCGCTTCTGGTCCTTCCCGCCTGCTAAGTGACGCACGCACGGCTCCCGCTGCTGTGTCTCAGCAAACGAGGAGAGCCAAAGCTCTCATGCACTTCGCTGGATTGGAATTGGGCTCAGGTAAGTATTGGGGGGGGGGGGGGGGCTGCAGGGAGCTGCACAGGTTGCTGTGCATGGATGCATGAAGGTAATAGAATGCATGAAGGTAAAAACCTTCAGCCTTTACAAGCATTTTAAAGTCAACTTAAAGCCCACTTTTTTTTGGGGGGGGGGGGTAAAATGGGGGAGAATTCAAATGTTGTGAGGTTTTTATTCTTGTCTGTGAGCCTATTGGGTACAATTTCTTTCCTTTCCTCCCTTCCTGTCCTTGAGACACACATATAAGAAATGAGGGGAGTGGTTGTCAGTGGGACAGAAAAGCCTGAGCAGTAAGTTCTAACCCATCCTTGGTTCTAAAAAATATTTCTTTTTTGACTGTTCCTGACAGGAAATAAGGATAAATCTCTCCAAAAGGTACACAGAAAACAAAAGAACCTGACAATGACTCCAATCTTTTGCTCTAACTAGAAGTAAAAAAAGGTTTTAATATAACTTATTTAAAAAGAGTATATAGTTCTGTGCTCTACTGTAATTTAAAAAACAATAAATAATTACCATATTTTCCTAAAAAGCTCATAAATAAATAATAACATATTTCCTTATATAATGCTATTGATTTCATGTTAGATAATCTAGTTGAAGGAGATAAAGACATTTTTTTATACTTTATATATAGATATATTTTGTATTTTTTTTATCAGGTCTCATTGGATTAAAAAAAAAAAATTGTTTCTGTTTTTCTAAACTTTATTTTTTTCCACACATGGAAACAAACAGATGCTGACAGAGCCCAAAAACATGGCATGGATGAATTTATCTCCTCAAACCCGTGCAACTTTGACCACGCTACCCTGTTTGAGATGCTTCAGCGACTCACACTGGACCACAGACTTAACGACTCCTATTCCTGCTTGGTAAGCTGTTGTGTCTGGTGTATTTTGTAGCAATGTGTCTTTTTTGTAAATATAATTGGGGTTGATTTTTTTTATGCTGAGTAAATTAGGTTCAGTTGACCATGTTCCTTTACATATACAGGTCAAAATAAAAGGGTCATTTAACTCCAAGACCCAACTAACAACATATACTTGTTTCCTCTCCTTCCACTCCATTTGGCCACCAGGTGAAATACCTAACATTTCTGGGTATAGGTGAGCATGTCACTTGCTCCACCTTATCCATAAGACTCCTAATGATTGGCCCAGCTCAGTCACATGGAACTGTGGAAGAGGTCCAATGTTATGTGTAAGCTTCAGCAAATCAGTTTCTGGCTTTCTGCACATACAGAACACTGAAATGAACAGTTTTTACTCTTTGAGTAAATTAATTATATTGTTCCTGCCTTATTGAACAGTCAAATTGGGACCATTTCACAGTCTAAACCAGTGTTTTTCAATCAGGGTGCTATCCATGGCAAAAGGATAGAAACCTCTCACTGTGCTAACCCCAGTATACAGAGAGGAGAGAGAACACAGCCAGGACCTCCTCCTCCCGGCTCACTCCTCCTCTCTGCTAATATCTATACTCCTGTCGGCAATACAGAATGCAGTGTAGGACACCAGCCCACGTCCTGCCAACCAATTACATCATTGGTTGCTAAGGACAGGTCAGGCAGCCCACCCAGCTTAATGTATTGCCGACGGGAGTTTAGATAGCGGCAAAGAGGAGGAGAGAACTGGGAGGTCTGGGCTGTGCTCTCGCTACTTTCTGTATACTGGAGGGAGAAACTCTGATGACTCCTGGGGCTAAATCTAAAATATACTGTCAGACTCATTAATCCAAATGCGTGGAGGCATCTCAGAGCAGAGAAACTCATACACTCCAGATCAGATTGACAAAACCGCAAAATAAAGCAGCTGGCAAATATGCAGAGCCTCAACAGATCAGACTGTATAGGGTCTCCTCCCCATGCTACTGAAGGTGGGGGAGGGTTGGAGGGAGAACACAGCTCCCACCATCACCCAGCTCTCATTCCTTCTTTGCTGCTGTCAGGAGAGGAGATGGGGGGTATTTTTGCTATGAGAGGGAGGATGGGGTGCTGGGATTTGTGCTAGGCAAAGGGATTGAGGAAGGGAGTTTTTGCTACAAGATGGAATTGGGGGGATTTGTATTAGCAGGGTGCTTATGGGTGGAGAGGATTTACAAGCAGTGTAAAAATGTGCTACATTTTGTAGTATTAATGGCACCCCCACGCATCCAGCAAATGTGGGAAAATCCCTCCAAAAGATGTCACAGACATGATTAAAAATAATTTAAGGCCTAGAACTTTCACTGTTAAAGTGTATCTAAAACCAAAAACTAAATGTAATATATTGCAGCTAGTCAGTCCTTAGATGTAGTGGCTGCATTTGTTTTCATTTTTTTCAGGCTAAATACGTTTTCTGTAAGTACAGAAGAATATGCATTGATTATATAATCAATGCATATTCTTCTGTACTTACAGAAAACGTATTTATTATTATTGTTCAGGATTTATATAGCACCAACAGTTTGCACAGTGCTTTACAAAATGAAGTCAGACATTACAGTTACAATACTGTTCAATAAAAGAGAAGTCAGAGGGTCCTGCGTATTAGAGCTTTCAATCTAAAAGTAAGGGTCAAGTGATACAAAAGGTAATACTTGTGGGGGATGAGTTGATGGAGAAAGAAGTTTAGTTGTCAGCTGGTGGCAGGATAGGCTTTTCTCAAGAGATGGGTTTTCAGGGATTTCCTAAAGGTGGACAGAGTAGGAGATAGACAGATTGGGGTTAGGAGTTCCAAAGGATGGGAGAGGCTTCGGAGAAGTCCTGGAGGTGAGCATGTGAGGAGGTGATGAAGGAGCTAGCTCCATATACTGCATAATGGTGAAGGAGAGGTGGTTTAGTCTAAATCAGGAGAGCAGCCTAAGGGAATAACCCGCTCAAGGGAATGAGCATTGGCACCCTAGGAAAAAACCCTTTAAAAATTAAACTAATGTAGTCACCACATCTAAGGACTGGTATTCTGTAACATATTCAAATTTGGTTTTAGTTTAACTTTAAATGAGAAGAGTCAAGATACCTCCTCCGTAAAACCTTGTGCTTTTCAGAATTCCTTATTTTTTACTATGCTTTAAGGTACACTCAGTGGTCATTTCTTTAAGTTTTCCCGTATCAACAGTTTTAATTCCCAAGATACCAGTTTGTTTACCAAGGTCCTGACCTGTTATTGAATAATTAAATACAAACCTACATTTTACTATGAAGGATTTGGAAAAATACAAAATCCTTCTTAAGGGGATTTATCCACACAATAACTAGAGATTACAGTGAGAACTCGATGTTGGGTGGGTATGTAAGCATGGCTATTATTCAAGACACCTTTTTAACTCTACCCTTTAATTTGCCTCTGGTGGTATATACTTTGCTTACTGACCATTTGTAATCAATACTAAGAGCAATAGCTATCAATTATGAGTAGGTTAAAAGTAAGTTAAAACCATAACTGCAGTTTGTATTGGAAATCTATAATGATATAATTAAATCAAGCTCCGTCGCAGAATGCTGATGTCCAGAATTCTCATAGCAGCCATCTGTCAAGTCATATACTGACAGGCAAATAAAGTGAAAGCAAAATGTTAACTATAAGAGCAAAATATATTATGGTGCTATCGGAAAGGAATAAACACTGTAGGGTTGATTTACTAAAGGAGTTCAAACTGTTCACTTAACGGTGTGACATTTTGCTGCACTTCGTGTGTTAACGTTAATCATTCAATTATGTACAAGTAAAAAAATCCTGCTTTTATTTTGTTTGTTTTTTTCTTTTTTTTTTTCTCTTAATTAGTTTCCACTTATTGAAAGTAATGGCAGCTTATTTACTAAGCTCATTGAACAACATTGATTTTGCTAAATGAACAGTTTCTTCTATAGGAAGTCACAGTGGGCATTTTTTATGAAAGGTTCTTAACCACCAAAGAATAGAATCCTTTCTCCTTTCTAAGCAAAAATTTTTTATTTATTTTTTTTATTCTCAAGTATTTCATTTGCATCTAAACTTTTCATCTTATTGCTCATCCCACTGTATTGGGACATTTTCAATTATATGAGCAAGGACTATTCCTGGGTTTTTTTTGTTTGTATTTTTAGTCTCCCTTCCAGATGATCACATATTCAAAGTGAGCACAGCCTCTTTACTAAGTTCAATAAACATTAATTTTGCCAAGCGAACAGTTTCTTCCTCTAAAGGAAATCCACCACATTGGGTCAGATATTTCCTCTCACTTCCTGTTTTGGCTGTGATACAGGAAGTGAAATCTCCACATTGGGACACAGATGCCAAAAAACTTGAAAATGAAAGAAAAAGTGTTGCCTTTAGTTCTGCTTTAACCATTTCCATACCGTGCAATTTTACACCTTCCTGCCCAGGCCATTTTTCACATTTCAGCACTCTCACACTTTGAATGACAATTGCGCGGTCATACAACATTGTACCCAAACTAAAATTTTATCATTTTCTTCACACAACTAGAGCTTTCTTTTGGTGGTATTTAATCACCGCTGGGGTTTTTATTTTTTGCTAAATTAACAAAAAAAGACCAAAAATTTTGAAAAAAACACACTTTTTTCTTGTTTCTGTTATAAAAGTTTACAAATAAATAATTGTTCTTCATAAATTTAGGCCGAGATGTATTCTGCTACATGTCTTTGGTGAAAATAACCCAAATTAGGATGTATTATTTAGTTTGTAGGAAAGTTATAGAGTTCACAAACTATGGTATAGATCTGAATATTGATCAATCCTGAAGTACTGACAGCCAATCTAATTTCTTGAGGTCCAAGAATGTCAGAATAGTACAGATATCCCCCAAATGACCCCTTTTTGCAGAGTAGACAGTCCGATGTACTTCATAAGAGGCATAGCGCGTTTTTTGAAGTTGTATTTTTTTTCTCATAATTTTACTATGACCAAAGTAGTACAATGTTACATAGTAACATTGTACTACTTTGGGGAAGTGATAAGTATTTTTTTTTTTTCTTACACAATTTGCTTATAGCAAAGGATTACTTTGCTATAAGCAAGCATTTACCTGAATGAAAATCGATTCATTCAGGGTTTTTTTTTTTTTTTTTCTTGCTTAGCTGTGATTTGGTCACAGCTAATCACATGACATGTGCATGTGATTAGCTGTGACCATTCACAGCTAGGCACTAGTATACAATGGATGGCATGAATGAAGCCATCCATTGTATACAACTGTCATGTGACCTGCTGTGATTGGTCACAGCAGGTCACATGGTACCAGCAACGGGGGCCGGTACTCAGATCTGTCATCGGCCGTGTCCGAGGTACACAGCCAGTGACAGATCGTGCCGCTGCGCGGCTCTGCATTAGCGCAAACTGCGCGTGTGCGGGAGCACGCCAAATGGCGTGCACCCGGAATGCCGAAGCACTTTTGAAGCCGCCAAACGGCCATTGGCCGGGCGGCTAATGGTTAAAGAACTGAGAATTGCTTTTATATTCCGTATCTTCCAATCAGATTTTCACCTTTGTTTTCACTGCACTCACAAAACGTATATGAGAAAATGGCAGTGATGGCCAACAAGGGAAGTTGTCTTTTCATACACTGGTAGGCAATACCCATGATTGCTGGGATATGGGGATAGCCAATAAACAATGGCGGAGATCAATAAATCAATAGTACAAGGGAGTTTATGTATAAATTGTGCAGTTAGAAAAGTATCAGTGATCCTGATTGGTTGCTATGGGCAAATAGAAATTTTGCTCTTAGCATACTTTTCATATATAAGTCCCATAGGGGTCACTGCTCAGTACTCATCTAGCATTGTTCCTAGATGTCATTATGAAATATTTTGGTCAATTCAAAGGAAAGTCGCTACGTATGTCTATCTGTAAGAATTTTGTTAATCTGTTCTTTTGTAGGGTTGGTTCAGTCCTGGTCAGGTGTTTGTCCTGGATGAATACTGTGCGCGCTACGGAGTGAGAGGCTGCCATCGACACCTTTGTTATCTAGCCGATTTACTGGAAAGAGCAGAAAATGGAGCCATGGTTGACCCAACTTTGCTCCATTATAGCTTCGCCTTCTGCGCATCACATGTACATGGCAACAGGTAAATTAACTATACATTCAATGTAGATTGGTATTTATGACAAATGTTGACATTTTTTAAATGTCTTGCATTTGAAGCCTAACTTCAGCCATTTTTTTGTTAGTTTTAGATAGATAACTAAATAAAGTAATGTCAAGTTAAAAAAGTTTTGTTTCAGTTTTAGATTAGAGTGGGGAAGGATTGGTGTTGTAAATATTATTAAATAATAATTTAATAATAATAATAATAATAATTATTATTATTATTATGGAAAACAGGAAGCATAGGCGTAGAACACATCTTCTTCAAGAAATTTTCAGTTTCTTACTACAATTGGAACCACTGTCTGTTTTTACTACTATGCAGAGACCCGCTATAGAGATTTTCCTTCACTTTCTGCCCCAGTGACAATGGTTTCACCAGACAGGAAATGAGACTGATCTGCATCAGGGACACAAACAGAAATAAAATCTAGGATCAAGCATAGAAGCGACATTCCACTTGTAAAAGTCCAGAATAAGATTTTATTTGCCTGATTATAAGAGATCCAATTTTTTTGTCAAACAATATTTGTGCAACAGTTTATTAAGCATGTTTTGTAAAAATAAATACACAAGTTAATTTTAGGGCAAACGCAACATATTACCCAATTTGTTTTGTAAAATTGAAAAGATAAGGTTGCGCCGAGCAAATAGATGTCCAACATGCCAAGCTTTAAAATTGTGTGTGCCCACAAAAGGATGAACTTTGATGCCATATATTTTCCAGGGGCAACACTTTAAAAGTCCCTACAGGTCATCTCTTTAGAGTTAACCATAGATAATGTTTCCTAGTATTATTGCTTTCAATCTAATGTTCACAGCGATAGTAACATATGTAGCTCAAGTGATTTTGTCATATGAAGGAGCCCCCAATGACTGTGTCTACAATCATGTGTGCGTGTACTTGGGGGTGGGGCTCAAAAAAATTTTTATGGGATGAGATTCTTAGTGCTTAAGTGTAACTTTATTCTTTCACACTTTTTTCAATATAACTTTCAAGTGTTACTAAACCCACAACATTAAAGCAGCCTGTATATGCAATAAAGAATACTTATTATTCTCACTGTGGAACCTAAGGGGTTAATCCTCTGCATTGTGTAAAAAGGCTGTTTTATCCTGTTTTCTCTGCCCCTCCTCATGTTCAAATGTCCATGTCTTATCTCCTGATGAGACAGACTGAGCTGTAGCCACATGCATATGCTCAGTTTAGTGTGTATTGCTACAGAGGTTGTTTTTTTTCTTGGGAGAGTGCATGTGATCAGCACAATCTGCACTGTCCACACAGAGGGTCAGGGTTTTGCAACCTCCTAGAGTGAAAAGAAAACTCCTCCTACAAGCTTTAACCAGTGCTCTGCTGGACACTGATAGAAGTCACAAGACTGCTCTAACTGCTGATGAGAAAAGGTATTTAGCAGTTTATATTTACTAAAATTATTGCACTTCCATGTTCTGTGTACTGTGGGAGACCAGATATAGTGAATGCAGGGTCCTGGGTTTCGTAACACTTTAACTATATCTTATAGGGGACAAGAAGTCCACTATGTGATATAAGCGCTTTTTTGATTGCTTCTCTGTAGCAGGTCTCACCTACCTTCCTTTGAAGCAAACAGAGCTCAGATCACACTCTAGAATGACACCAGCAAAAGGAAGTAACATTATACACATCGCTTCTGTGTTCTTTACAGTTAGGAGTGATCAGTGAATCTATGTTCACTGATCTCGCTCCCCTCCATCCGGTGAAACCCACTGTGCAGGTGCTGGTCCCACAGAAGGGACATCGGAGCCTAGAAACATGGTGGGGGTCATGTGTGAGTGTAGGAGGGGGGTTAAGGGGCACAGTTCTGGGGTGAAATAAAGCGAAAAACGGCTGTACAACCACATAATTTAATTCATCAAAAAGCCAACAGTTGGTTTGTGGAGTTTACACACATTCCTGGCTGCTGTAACAGCTGAGAGTGTGTGTAAAATCCTCCACTGCCACCGACATATGACATACGTCAGTGGCAGTAGAAGGATTAAAAAGATTTTTAAGTATTTTACTGGATTCATTGATATAAAACCTGACAAATTATATTTAATATATTTATGTTGTGGTCCTGGAAATATTTATTATTATATATCTCCATGGCCCTGAAAATGGGGAACCCTTGCAGCCTCTAAAACACAATGGCTTTCCCTTAATACGTACACATAAAACATTCTTCTGGATTTACAAGTGTAGTGATGGTTTTTCAGTTTCATCTTGTATTCATACTTCCTTAAGGACTGTCTAGAAAAGTCCTAGGACAGGGGTCCCCAAACTGCAGTCTGAGGGCTGTATGTGGCCCTCTGCTTGCCTTCATCTGACCCTTGGGGCACCACTCCTTCCACTGATACCTGGCATTGTTCCTCCCATTGACACAAATAATGAGACACTATTCCTTCCACCGACACCAGAGATGGGGAACGAATTCTCCCACTGTTACCAATAATGGGGCCCTATTCCTCCTACTGACACCAGTGATGTAATTGGCCCTTTTGGCATGGTCTACTCCCGCCAATGCTAGGGCATTTTTTACCCCCACTGGTCACAGTCCGGCCCCCATAAAGTTTGAAGGGTAGTAAACTGGCCCTTTGTTTTGAAATTTTGGAGACCCCTGTCCTGGGAGGAATGGAGCTGCCAGGCTACATTAATATAAAAATTTAGAACTGTACAAAATACATTGAGCAATCCAGCGCTCCTCACCACTGGAACATTTTTGAGAATAAAAATCTGACAGGAACTTTAGCCTTCTCTTACTCTACTATTGAAAAACATTTTTTTTGTGCCTGTGTTGCTTTTGGAGAGTTCCACTCACTTCCTGTTTTGGTAACTGGTGTCAGTAGAACAGGAAGTACGATGAAATCTTTACCAGATCAGAAATTCAGATGGTAGTAAAAACCTCACAGGGGTTCCAACCCTGCCCAGCTCTATCCAAAATTTAGAAAAAATAGTTTTGGCAGGATACATTCTTTAGAATTTCCATCAGGGTTTTATATCTGTCTTTGATCCCAATGAGGAGATATTCCCTGACTTCCTGTCTTTTTGAAAAGAAATGTAAAGAGCAGTTGTCATTAGGACAGGAAGGCACAAACGTCAATATAAACATTGTCAGAAGTTCTAAATCTTCCCCAAAGAAAACTGAGCAAACCACAGTAATTCAGAAAGTATATTTCATTGGTCTTTAATTCATCATTCCCCTGAAATGTGTCAAACAAGTCACACATTCTTTACAATGGGATGTCCTTTGATACTTAGAGACTGTCATCAGACCATTCATTTTATCAACAATCTTCTCATAAAATTATATGTGCATTTAATATATAGCTTTCATGTAAAAGTCCTCCTTGTGTAGACTTTCAAGAACTTTGAGTCCCGGTTCACACTGATGTGAATCTTATGAGGATGACATGTGATCCGAAAGGTATAAATTCATATGTCATCTGAAAATACATTGCTTTCTATGAAGGCTGTTCACCTCTATTTTGATCTGGTTAACAAAAGGGTCCTGTGTGAGTTTAGTGTAGGTGTAGTGAAAATTTTTTCTCCATCCCCTCAGATATTGCATTATATTCACACCTGTCTAAACACAAATCGTACTGCAAAATCGCATCAATTCACACCACATCAGTGTGAACCTAGCCTTAGACCGCTGTTGGGTGCTGCCATCTTGGATGTGATGTCAACAACCCCAGTACATTCAGAGGTAGTATTTCCATTTTCTCCTCCCACAGCAGGCACATAAAAGATTATGTAGTAATTTAAAGAAAAGTGCAGTGGAGCTGGGCCAGCATACAGTTATTAGACACTCCCACAAGAGGAGAGGGCTAAGATGTCCAAGGAGGAAGGAGACTCTGCTAGGGATCTGACTCTTCCTGGAGTAGTTCAATTTGCAAGCAAGTTCAGAGGGACATTGGAAGCCAATAAATATTGTTTACAGGAAAGAAAAGTGCTACAAATATGCATTTAATATACTTGTTTTTTTTGTGATTTTACCTGCAAATGTTTATGTTGGTGACAGGTCCTCTTTAAATGCTTCTGAATGGGTTCAGAGTTGTTCTTACTATACATGGTATATTAAAATAGACTATGCATACTATACTATAGTTGCAAGTTACAAGTTCTAATAAAACAAATCAACAGCTCTGCTTTGTACTCCCTACTAGCTTAATAAAAGCCCTTTAACTCCTGCAAGGGGTTAAGTAGCAGTAAAGTCACTGAGCCCTATGGCACACAACTAGGGATTTGTACGGTTGTTGAAGCAATAACACAGTTCACATAATGTACACACATAGACTTTCCTTGCCCTTAAGGTAAGTAAAGGACTTTCTTTAATTAACAGGCACAATGAACTTCCAGTGTCTGGTGCCTGGGGGCTTAGCCAATAAATAGACCTCATCTCAGTTACTACAATAGGACTCAGGCTGAACCTCTTACTTGGAATACACAACACAAAGAGAACCCTTCTACAAACATAGTTGCAATTTCTTTAGCCTGGTCTAAGCTGGGGATGGATTTTGGATGGCAGTCAGGCTTTAGGACTTGGTGAACCCCATAATAATCTTGTTTCTTCCCATAACAATCATGGACATACAATCTCTTTCTACTTTGTAGTATTTTACCAGCAGAAGCCCACTAAGCTTTTTTTTTTTTAAAAGGGACAGTTAAAATAAGTCTGGAACATTTTTGTGATAAATGCCTTGCTGTGAAAGATACACTAAAAATGCCCAGTTTTCCAAGATGGGCTTTTTTATATACTAGGGAAGGGGTTTTGTGTTTGCCTGGATATGGGCTTTAATTTAAATGTATTTCCGGACAAATAGCAACTCCCTCCCATCCATTCACAGACTAAAATAATGAAATACATCTAAACCAGCCTTTTACTTACCTGAGTTTGATGGCCGCATCCCTCATCATTGCCTGTTCAGATTGTAAAGACCAGTGGTCCAAGACTGTTCCAT